TGAAAGCCTCAAACAAAATCCAAATGAATTCTAAAAAAAGAAATCTTAAAAGGGCTGGGGATTTAGCTCAGTGGTGCAGTGCCTGTCTGGCAAGAGCAAGGTCATGAGTTCGGTTCCCAGTACCTGAAAAAAAAAAATAGAAATCTTAGAAAGAAATCTGAATCTGCCTGCTAGCTCTCAGCTACTTACTTTGAGAGTTAAACTATCCAGGCTCACAAAGAACGCATACTTCAAACAGTCTAGAGCTAAGATTAGTGCAGAACCTTCCCATCTTGCATACATACTTCATAGTTTTGGATAGTTCTCTTTGTTTTTTAACTGTGCATCAATGACAAGCCATCAGGAGAGGTCACCCCAAGTCCCCACAACACTACCCCAACTCGAGCCTGGGCACTGCAGATAGAGGAAGGTCTGGCACCCTTTGGAAGCAACAGAAACTAATGCCATGGAAGACTCTTGCTTCCACATACATTTTATGGATCATTTAGACACGTTTGGTATCTCTTCCGCAGATACTTTCTTCTTGATGAGAGACATGGGATTTGGAAAAATTAGAAGGCAACCTCAGTTTTAAAGGCATAGTACTTATAGATTTGCAACAAAACCTGTGAAAGGGTAAATAAGAAATGAAAAAGGTTCTTGCCTTCCCGTGCCCCGTGGATTGCTCATGTAATTGAGATGGGCAGGGTTTCTAGAAGACTAGAAGCCCACAACGAAAGAAAAGCTTTTCCCAGTTTTTCCCGGGAAAACTGCAGAAAGTTATTTAGGTAAGGCTTCTTCATGTTCAGAAACCCTCAAGTGACTCCAAACATGCATGTTGATTTTAAATTTTTAAAAATGTGCTTTGTATAGGATTTTTCCTCTGCAATATGTACTGGCATGGATTTGCAGAGGGACTATCATCTAAACAGAGAATTTAAAACAGATTGTCCTGCTTGAAGGAAACTGATTTAATTAAGGGCCTGAATATTAATATAAATTTCAGTTTATTTAACAAATATTTACTGAGGATATGATGTAGCAGGGCACTGTTAAGCACCTCAGCCTCTCCCAAGAGTGTCCCGAGACTTGAGCCATAAGACCCACAGGGGAAATCTCTTCATAGTGAAAGCTTGAGTGGTATAGCAGAAATACAAATGCCAAAGAAATGCAATGCTCGAGTGCCTTAATTCTTTAAGAGGTTGGGGACACCTGGAAGGATAAAGTCAGGTGCTGATTCATCAGAGGGGGCAGACAATGGCAGAGAGAGAAGCTTCTCTCCACAGGAAGCACTCTGAGATCTCAGCAGTATTTGCAATTCTTGTGTAAAATTCCAGCAGGTTGAGGATAAATGCAGAACACTGTCTTGGGTACAGACAGAGAGGGGAGGGAACAAAGCATTGCTCTGTCTGGTCCTTCCTGAAGCCAGGAAGCAAGAGGACAGCTTCAAGACTGTCTGAGAACCTTTAAACACCCAGAATCCAAGCAACTTGCATTTGGTGCAAATAGAGAAATCATTGCATTCTCCCAGTTCTCTATGTAGAGGGTCCTCTTTCTTTCAGATGTAGGAAAAGAAAGAAATCAGAACAAAGATATTCTCAAACTCAGTGCTCTGCTCTCACAGATGACAACACTGAGATGCAGGGCTTTTAGTCAGAAGCTACTTAGTGGCTTGTGAAAGGGACAAAGGAATAGAGTGACAGAGAGGTGGATATTTCTCCATGACCTTTCCACCAGTATTAACCCTTTCTAATTGCTTTTTTGTCTGAAAATCCTTTCAGTGTTAACAAGCCACTCAAAATTGCTCCCAAGCTTTAAGATGCCTTCAAGGCATAAGGTACCTAACCAGAATCCATACTCTCGGCAAAAACAACCAACTGGAGCCTCAGTACAGGTTAAACCTGAAGGTTTCATTATTGAATGCAATATTTAAAGAAAGGGTAAGTCCGTGTTCCACAAGGCAGTCTATCCAGCCCTGTAAAATGTTCTGAGGAGCACCAAGGGGTTGAAATACATAGAACAGTGATTCTCCAGATGGAGCCCACAGCACACAGAATCAGCATCCACTGCAGTGCAAGTTCTGAGACCCCAGCCCAGACCTACTGACTCCACAGCTCTTGGGATAGGGCTTGAGTCATTCCTTCATGGGAATCTGAAGCACTCTAAATTTGAGAACGACCTACTTACAAAGATTAAGTTAAAGGCAAATGAAACCTCCATGAGTGAGGTGGAAAGGGAGGTATGTAGGAAAAACTCACAACCCAGAGATTGAACAACAAAAATATTGGTCTTCAGGATCAAATTACTGGCTCAAACTATCTGATGTGTGCATATATCTGGTGTGTGTGTGTGTGTGTAAACTGCATTTCTGAAAAGGCTTGGGCAGACTCTATCTTCTCCTATAGAATTTAGGATCATTCAGGTGTAAAAACCATGAACCAACCTAAACTGAGTATCTAGTTAGACAAAAGGCTTTCATACACTGATATTTTAAATTTTGCATTTGATTTGACCCTTTGTGAGGTAGTTAGGGTTATCCCATTTATCAGAAGAGCAAATTGACATTCAGTGAGATTAGGGAATCTTCCCAAGGCTTTCAGACAAATAAGGACAAGATGGGATTTGATCCTGTGTCTACCTAACTCCAAAGTGTGTGTGGTTCTCATTGCAGGATGTGCCATGTCCAAATCTGGCCAGTGCATACATTTGGAGTATGGTATTCTGTTAGGTAAAGAGAGGTTTGAGTATTTTGTCATATAATCTTATGAAAAATATTGTTAAAGAAAAATAAGCTTCAATTTATATAATGCAAAACAAAAGAACAAATAAATTACAAAAAATAAGGAAAGGAAATCAGCAGCTGCAATGTAGAAAGCACAGGAAAGTAGATTCTACAGAATCTACAGAAAGCTGAATATGTGTATGCAGGTACACTTGTGTGTGCATAGGTGTACATGTACATGGACACGTATATGGGCATATGTGTATATGGGTGCATGTGTGTAAGTAAGTATATATGTGAGTGTGCATATATATGCATATGTGGATGTGTGCATTGTGTGTTCATGTATGAAAAGTGTTTATGCTCCAAGAGTAAGTGAAGGAGCAGAGGCTTATAGGCTCCTCTTTTAGAGGTCTAGGCTCAGGGTTTTTTCATCCTGATCTCACCCATCATTCATAATCTGAAGAAGGTAGGAAGGAGCTTGAGTCCACTCCCAATAGCCTGGTCAAGGCCATATTGACTGTAAGCTGCAGAGCTGGGTCTAAAAATCAGGCCTTAGACCTCCAGACCCTCTCAGAATTGCTCTACACGGTGACTGCAGAAGACACAGCAGTCCATTACCATCCTTGCACTGCTGAATGCCCAGAAGAATCTCCATGTTTATTCACTTATTCAACTTTCAGGCAATTTTAAAAACTAACATAAGAAAATTATTCCTGTGAGTTGCAAGTAACCGCAAAATAAACTCCAAGTACAGGTAAAGCACCCGAATGTAAATGGTTGAGCCTTTTGCTACCTGAGGTGTATCTCCTCAGATAGTCCCAGGGATAGGTCCTTCTAATGAAGCAGCTTGAGGACAAGCTTATGTCCAGGTATCAGCATCTGAAGGGATGCAAAAGATCAGCCATGGTTATGCCACAGGGAGTTAAAATAAAACCCTGGACATTTCAACCTCACTTTGTTTCATGCATGATGAAGGATGACAATAAATAAGTGATCTTCATATCCTTATTTCAGAGCTGATGAGTACGTGCCCATAGAGGAGGCAAAGGAGACTAGGGTGCAGGTGGATTTGCCCCCAGGGCATACGCAGGAGGTAAATTCTACCCACTTTGCAATTTTCCCAAAGACCAGTGATCTCAGAGAACCCTCCTTCCCATAAACTTTGAGCACAACAGTGTGCTATGCCTATAAAGGGGGCTGGACGGGCAGAAGGGTGTAGGCTGCCCTGAGCCCTTCTCCTCAGCTGAAAAAGACATTTTAAAGTTCTGTCTGATGTTACTGCTCAGTAGACCAACAACTATATATGATGATTTACAGCCCCAACTCTCTTAGCTCCCGGGGGCCATGGATCTGAATGTTTTCACTGACACAAGTTTCACACACTAAGACTTAATTTGTGTTTTTTAAAAAATATATCGATTGAAGCTATTATTATAGACTTTGATACTTTCAGGCATCTTTATACCTGCTTCTTGGCCTGCACCACTACACAACCCACCCTGCATTTGAAAATACCATGAAACAGGCACCTGGAGAAGACAGGAGGCCTTGCCAGGCAGATCACGCCCTCAAACAGAGGCATCGCTGGATAGATCCCAACCAGCACCCTCAGTCTGACTGATAACCAAGAACAAACACATGTATGAGGACTGCAGTCTTGTGACTAGAGAATTTAAAAGCTCTTTGGTTTCACGTAGAGACCAAACTGACTTTGCCCTCATCAACTGTTTAGTAAAATCGACAAAGTAAGCAAACTTGATTGGCCTGAAGGAACTAGGATGGCCTAGCAGGGGCTCTTAAAGCTCTGCCTCAGAAACACTGCCTGGGTGCTCAGCCACGGTCATTAAGAACTAAGGATGTTTTCAATCAACATTGCTAATAACAAGGAAAGCAAAACTCTCCTTGCTGTAAAATCAACCCAGTCAGGCTGCTAAATAGTTACTTAGCATATATATTATTTGCTGTCAGGGCCAATGGCTACCTGCAAAGATGGTAAACCAAACCTATATATAGGAAAAGTAATGGTTCTCTAACTGTAGACAACATCAGAAAGAAGGATTTGGTAAATCACAGATTGCAGGGGCCCCAAAATTTGATTCTTAATTCTGGGGAAACCTGGTATGCATTTCTAGCAAATTCCCAGATAACAGTTATGCAGCTGCTCTGGGGACCGAACATTGAGAACCACTGTAGCACAACATTAACAATACCATACCGGATGTTACTCTGTGTCCCCCCAAGTACTAAGCTCCTCTCACTCTGCTTCCCACCTTCCTCTTCTCTGCTGCAGGGAGAGATGCCGATGCCAGCACACTTCCTGCTGCTCCTGCTACTGCTCTTCGGGGACCCGGGAACAGGCCTCTCCCGCAAGATCTGCAAAGCTGGGCCTGTCTTCGGCTGCCTCAATACAGCCTTGTCCAAGGTCAAGAAGAACCAGATGGAGGATGTGCCCCTTCTAAGCAAGAAGAGCTTCCATTACCTGCCCAGTCAAGACCCATCTTCCAGAGAGGAGAAAGAGGAGGAAGAAGGAAATCTGGACAAGGACAAAAGGACTTTCACAGGTTCTGGGAGTGGAGGTGGAGCTGGAAGCGCCCGGTACAAATACCTGCTCCAAGCACAGCACAAGGGGAAGCTGCACCAGGACAAAGGCAAAAGCGACCAGCGCACCAAGTTCACACTGTCCCTTGATGTTCCTACTAACATCATGAACATTCTCTTCAACATTGCCAAGGCCAAGAACTTGCGAGCCAAGGCAGCTGCCAACGCTCACCTGATGGCACAGATCGGGCGAAAGAAGTAGAAGCAGAGGCCCAGCAGGAGAGCAGCACATCAAGGACAGAGGTCAAGGGCAGAGGGTACAGGGAGGGCTGAGGCTGTGGCATCCTGCTGGTTTGCGTTCGAAAGGACCAGTCCAGCTTCACAGGCTACTTCACTGCTGAGCCCCTCTCATCCTCTTGCAGCCAGTCGTTTTACTTCTCTGTACAGAGGCACAGAAGTTCAGTACTGCTCACATTTGCAAACAGTAGAGGCTAATATCTTCCCATGTATTCTGTGTCTCCTTCTTATTCCCCATGGCAAAAGGCAAAGTTCATGCATTCCTTCCCTCCAGACTTATGCCTTCCGGCCATATGCCTGAGAAGAGAGAGTTCAGGGCTCCTCTCCTCTCCACACATCAACTCCGGCTACGAGGAGATACGTTACCACCACCTCGCCAACAAGTCCCTGCCCTACTATCTCCTCCCCCATTAAAACCAGTGGCTTCTTGAACTCCTGGGTTGTTCAGTTCTGTTTCCTTCAAACTCTGAGCATCAATCGGACAGGAAAGACAAATGAGAGAGGGTCCCGGTGGGTCAGTTTCCTGTCGCTCCCAGGAGGGGCCTGGTCTGGGAGGTCTGGGAGGTTCTAGAAGAAGTACCAGAGGCCTTCAGAGTCAACTTCTGTCATTCCTTCAAAAGCCATCATCTGCACGGCCTGGTTCCACCCAAGGGACAGAACACAGGGTTTGTTTCAGAATGGGCTTCTGGGTGGAATGGGAGAGGGAGCCTATAACACTCCAAACTTCTTTGGGCCTTGTGAGGACACAAGCCACTCACTCACTGCAGCGTTCAAATGAACAGGAAAGACAAATGAGGGAGTTCTTACTGAACCCTCGTACTTGCTCAGTGCTGGGTGGGGAGCTGTGGCTGATACTGATGGCTCAGGAGAGGTCTCTACTCTCTGCAAATCAACAGTCTAAGTGAATAGACAAAACTAAATATACAAAGTATATACAAATATACATACTGGGATATGCAAAGAACTGCAAAGTGATAGCAATTAGTGTAAAAATTATATACAATTATATATATTATAATATTACATTTTATAATATATGACATCCATATATTATATAATAAATTATATTATATATTATATATTATTATATAGTTATATAACATATTATATATAATAAATGGATAATATATATTATATATGGAATGTAAATAAGAGAATATTTTCTATGAGCAAGATTCCTCTAAAAATGGCTATTATTAAGAATTCTAAAGGCCCCCCAGCAGCAAAGCCAAAAGGTCAGGGCCCCAAAAAAGAGATGCTAGTCCCACTCACCTCTGCATAGTGACAAATGAATAAACATAATGAAATTCCATACGATAAAGCAATACACACACAACTGCCACCAGAGGCAACGCCAGAAGATGAGTGAAAAGTTTGGAAAAATGTTTAACACTCATATAAAAGACAAATGGGCTTTTTACTGAACATGTAAAGATCTACTAAAAAATGAGAACAAGAACAAACCCTAGAAAAAAAATAAGCAAAGGCGTGAATAGACAACACAAACATGCGTGTACAAACACAATTATAAAGGAAATTTAAATACAGGAAGAGGCCCTCAACTACATTCTAATAACTACACTGGTGCACAATTTCTCACCTGTCACATGGGCAAAAGTCCATCAATTCAACAATGCTCTCTGCTGGTAAAGTGCGACCATACCCTCCCCCATGCCTGGCTAGTAGACGTATAAACCAAAGAAAGACAATTTGACAATACTTATCAAAACTACAAATTCAGTTTTTCTTTAAGCTAGTAATCATGCTGCCAGGCATCACTGGAAAAAGTTAAATTTTTAATTAACTGGACAAAGTTAAATTTTTAATTAAAAAAAAGTTCAAAGTGAAATTTAAAATGCCCCATATCTTTGCAGCAAAAGCAATGCTCCAAAAAAGTGAAAATGCAACTGTTGCTTCCATCCTGGAAGAACCGCACCATACAGTAGAAATATAAGAGGAACCTGATAAGTACTCTATGTATGAACATTATTTCATTTACTTCTCACAAGTACATTTCAAGGTAGTTATGATTTTGCCCATCTTAAAAATGGAAATTGAGACCAAAACAAGTTAGGAAATATGTGTAAGTTCTCACTGCTATTAAGTGGCAGTCAGATGTGTCTAGCCACAAACCCTTTCTCCTTTATGAAAGGATGACAATTTTTACAGCAAACATTAAAAACACGAATCCACCTCACCTCTCAGGGCTATAATGAACCTCAAATTAACCATGAATGTGAAAACAGCTGGGAAAGCGTCACACAGATATTGGGAGTTAAGATTAAGTCCTCAGCAGATAAGTTTCGTATTTAGATGATTAAAGTGTACATACGATTATCGAACTAGGAAGAGTAGGTCAAAACTGAAATCGACCAACAATTGGGAAAGCCAAGGTGTTCTGTTGAACAGGCCCATTTGATAAGTCTATCATTCTTCCCAAAGACTCAGACCCAGATTTAAGAGCAGGCAGTGGTTCTAAGCCTCTGTCCAAAACATCAGCAATGCAGGAAGGGTGGAGGTGGCCAAAGATAACCCACATGTTTACCTACTGCCCCTGACTTCACTATGAAGCACTTTTGCAGAGGGTAAAGAAGATACTGGTGCAAATCCTTGGTGTCTTAAAGAGAATGAAACCCTCAGACAGGAAAGGGTAAATGCACGAGGAAGGAACAGCACCTCCAGCCACGATTCAATTGCACGGCAAGTTTTTGTGACTAATGATTACTCTCCTAGAACTAGCAAGCCCCGGAAATCAGTGAGTGATAGAGCAGGCCCTTAGTATACAGGAATTTAATTCTGTGACTCTCACAGGTTCTTGATATATAATGATTTGTCATTTTTCTGAGACACAATTCCGAATTACTCTGCAAGGCAAATGTGCATGAACAGTTTTAATTATCTGGTGAGGCTGGCCAGTTCCTCAACAACCATGTCCCCAAGGAGCTCTCCCAGCTCTCTGCTAATGATCACCAATGGCCTGGATCATTAAAGGTTTGAATAGTGTTAGTGTTGAACATGACCGCATTCTGCAGGGGAAATGACTGATCGGTGTGGCAGCACACAAGGGTCTCAGGCTTTCTCTCTGTGTGTAGGTTGCATTTGATTCTATCTTAGGGATGCATTAGAGAGACACTCCCACTCCTACACCCCACAACTATGACAGACAGATGATAGAGTTTTTCCCCTAGTGTAATTCCTTTAGAGTCGCATTATACCAGGGGAAGAACTCTATCAACAGACATATTGGAAAGTGTCTAGGAGGACGTACAAGGAGGACAGACCAAAAGAACAGAGTGCAATTCATATGAATCCAGTATAATCAACTTGTTTATCATGTTTATTGCCCTCAGGCCCCACACTTATTACAGTATCAACCCCCTGAGGGTAAGGGCTGTCTTTGTTTGCTCTATGATGTAACCCCACTGGCTGGAATAGTGACAAATATATGGCGAGTGCTCAATAAACAGTTGGTAAATTAAGAAAAGATGTAATGAAATTTTTGTGATAAGAAAGCTGCACATATTTGAATTTTAAAATACAGTATTTGTAATAACCAAGGGTTTTTGACTTAATAGAATCATATTCAGCCTTGTCTTTCCAATTTTAAAATATGTAAATTTCAAAAATTTACACTTGCTAACTTAAGTAAAAATCTTACTGGTTTATGGAGAGTTCTAGCACACTTAAGTTTACTTGCTATATTTAATTATTTAAATTATACTTATTTATACAATAATTATATATTAAATTATTATTATATTTAAATTTTTAGATTTTTTTAAAAAATTACTTAGGGTACTTGAGAAGGTTTGTCAGACAAATTAAAGCCCTTAAAAGACAATAGAATATATTAAATTCATATTCAATCTAAACTATGTAAAAGGGCCAGGGATATAGCTCAGTGACACAAGCAAGCACAAGTTCCTGGCAAGCACAAGTTCCTGAGTTTGATTCCTGGTACCAAAAAAAATAAAATACAATATGTAAGCGCATATTTAATTTATACAGAACCTAAAGTATTTATAAGCATTTATATAGGGCTGTAAAGTAGACCAAAAACTCATGCAACTCCCCTTTAAAAATGATTATACAAATTTGTCAGGCTTACAAATAATAAAAACAGTAAACTAAAATTAAAAGCTTAAGAAATAATTAAGTTTTCCACCTTAGCTTTTGGTAGATTACCCATTTTTAAGAACGAAAGAAAATGTATACTTTTTTGGATGTATGTGAACACACACATGTGCACTCATTACTAATTTAACAGTATTAAGCGTTTCAGTAGTGCCCTCCAGTGACTACATAGAGAAATAACACATGTACATAAAAATTTTAAATTAAAAAACCTGATCAATCTGTGAAGCATTGTGTAGGTTACAAAAAATGAAAATATTTATCCGTGCATACTTACTGCAATATATTCAATGTGATGAGACATTCCATAGTGTATTTCCACCATTCATAAATCCTGCAAGAAGGATGAATGGATGCCCACAAGTTCAAAGCAGACAAAAAAAAAAAAAAAAACAGTAGAGAGCTTTCATGGAGCTGGTGACATTGGAATTGCATGCCTTGATGTGGGAATAATATCATATGATTATAGGGAGAGAAAGAGCAAGAGTACAGGCAAGAGAAAAAAATATATGCTGGTGAGTAGAGCGTAGACCAGTTTGAATGGAACTCATGAGATGACAGCAAACAATAGGGTTGAAAATTGAAGGTGGAAATGATTGGGATGAGGTTTAACTGCTCAGTGCAGGCCTTTGGACCTTGTACTTAAACAGTGAGGAATCATTCACATTTTGGGTAAGACAGCAAAGTCATCCAAGCTGAGCTTCATGGTGTTCCGCCATAGAGAAGTGTGTACAGTCAGTTATGAAGACAGAGTGACAGGCAGAGCACAAGCTCCTGGCAAGCACAAGTATATTTATATATATTTATATACAAGTGTACTAGGTAAGAGGA